CTCCGCTCCAAACGGGGTGGAACGGGGACGCCTGTGGATAGGCAGGCCCGCCGGACAGGGCTGTCCAATGGCTGCCTACCGCGCAGGGGCTCCGCAGAGCCCGGCAGAGCCAGCCAGCGCACTACCGCTGCCAGCTGACAAGCTGACTTGGGACAAGTGCAACCGAGTGTAACCTGGTCTTCTTGCATATTTCGAGCTCTCTCTCTTCCCTCCCTCCCTCTCTCTCTCTCTCTCTCTCTCTCTCTCTCTCTCTCTCACACACACAGACACAGGGTCATGGTCCAAGAATGTGTGTGCTTGAGGTGTGTCCTCTCTGCGATTGCCAAAAAGTGCCGCGAGCCGAGCGTCTCTGTATACTGTACGTAACGCCCTTTGCTTCCACGAATGAAAAACTTAGAAGTCGCTCTGATTGCGCTATCGCGATGTTTGATTGAATTTTATTTTAAAGTTTAAATTTTCGCGCGTTCGTGACTAGTGGCGACAGCAGTCTCACTCTACTGGTCCATTGTGGGCGGCAGGCGCGCGCGCGAGCCAGCGAGCCCGGCGCTCTTTGCGGCGCTGCCGAGTGACCTTCAGAGTTCATCCACTGGATCCAATGAATAATCAGCGGCGAGAGAGAGGAGAGAGAGAGAGAGAGAGAGAGAGAGAGAGAGGGGGGGGGGGAAAGGGAGGGGTGTCGGTACTACGGATATTGGCCTCATTGTTGGCGGCGTGCCGCGAGCGGCGTGAACAAACCCGCAGACGGACTGACGGACGGACAGACAGGCAGACAGACAGACAGACAGACAGATAGACGGGCGGACGCACTATGCTGGCGGTGTGACGGGGCAGGGCAGCGTGCGCTGCGGTGTGGCCATCCGGCCATCCGGCCCGAGCGAAGTGACATTGGCCTACGATATACGTAGCACCGCGTCCGTCGGCTGTGCAAAAGGTATTTTGAAGCCCGTAATTTTTCCGCAAAACATTAAAATCTTTCCAGAAAAAAAAATGAAAAAGAAAAACAGATTTTTTCTCCGGAAAAATTGGGAACAGAGAAAAGATTTTTTTCCAGGAAAATGAGGAGCACATTACTACTTTGGGGGAAAAGTAGTAACATTTTTACAAAAGAAAATCTTGAAAAAAATTCTCAAAATTACTTTCCTTAGAAAATTGAAAGGACGGGCAGGGTCTGAGCTGGAATCTGTACTCTGTAACAACATCTCTGAGTTGACTGACTTTCCCGGTCTGTGACACACAGCCCTGAGATGACGACAGTCGAGATGAGGCTGGAGCGGGCTGGAGTTAATCTTGTCGCACCTGTTCCAGCCCGGCGCACCGTTGTGTCCTCTCCTACGCAGCTCTGAACAGAACAGCCATAGCCAGTGATCGGCCCGACAAAAGCGTCATCGTGTATATACTGTATATTTCGGTACGGGAACCCCCTGCCGTGCCGCGGCCCCATTGGTCAGCCGCCCGGACCAATCACAGCAGCCGGTCGGTCGGCTCGTGGCGGGTCCCTGTCGGGTCCCTGTCGGTCCCCAGCCCCCCCCTGTCCCCTAACCCCTTGCGGGTCCCGAGCT